TGCAACCTCCGCCTCCCAGGTTCAAGCAATTCTCCTGCCTTAGCCTCCTGAGTAGCTGGGATTATAGGTGCCCACCACCAGACCTGGCTAATTGTTTTTGCATTTTTAGTAGAGACGGGGTTTCACCATATTAGGCTGGTCTCGATCTCCTGACCTCAAATGATCTGCCCCCCTCAGCCTCCCAAGGTGTTGGATTACAGGCGTTAGCCACTGCGCCCAGCCTGATGACAACCTCTTTATTGTTGCCTCTCCCCAGTTCACAAGGCATTCTTCCTTGTGCACCAGCTGCACATCCATGGGAAGACAGGTGGGTCTTCCTGATGGCCCATTTCTTAGCCCCATTGCAGACAAGATTCCTGCAGCGAAGCTTATGCTTGTTTACCAGCCATTATGGAGACTGGCTGCTTTAGTTTCTTCTCTTCTGGCTGATACAATTACACAAATGTTCCTCCTCAAATCTAAATTTCCACCTGGAAAGCGGGAGACAGCATGGAGGAGGTGGAGGTGAGAACAACTGCCCTGTCCAGCACGGGTCAAGCATTCCCCAGGCTGGGGGGAAATGAATGAGCGAGAGCTGTGCTCAGAAACGAGAACTGGCTGCTAGTCCGGCTCTGCCGTTACCTGTGGGATTTTATGCAAGAACTTTTCTCTCTCTGGACCTCAGTTTTTGCTTTTATAAGTAGAGGCAGTTAGATGAGATGGCTAATATTCTTTGATTTTATGAATGGCCAGATATTTGTCCTCTCCTGGAAGTGAGAAAGGAGGGAAGAAGGGAAGAGGAAAAGGAGCTGAAGTGTCGTGGGAAAGTGGCTTCAGGGCAGCATGGGAGGAAAGTCATAGGAAGGGTGTGGGGGGTGGGTGGGGAAAGACGTGCGCTCAGGGCTGTTACAGCGGGGAAGGGGCCTCAGCTCCCATCTGCCGGCTTCTGGGCCATGCTCCCACATATACTGGCAATAGAATCTAAATCGATTTTTTTTAAAGCTTATATTTACTTTTCTCTGGGTGTATTGGCATGCATCCGTAATCCCAGCAACTCAGGAGGTTGAGGTGGGTGGATTGCTTGAGCCCAGGAGTTTGAGACCAGCTTGGGCAACATAGTGAGACCCCTATCTCTTAAAAAAAAAAAAATTAGGTGTGGTGGTGCATGTCTGTAGTCTTAGCTATTCAGGAGGCTGAGGCAGGAGGATCTCTTGAGCCCAGGAGGCTAAGTCTGCAGAGAGCTATGATTGTGCCACTGCACTCCAGCCTGCCTCTAAACAACAACAACAAAAGAGCAGCCTGGGCAACACAGCAAGACCTCCAACTCAGAAAGAGAGAGAGAGAGAGAGAGAGAGAGAGAGAAAAGAAAAAAGGAAGGAAGAGAGGAAAGAAGGAAAGAAAGGCTTTTATTTACTTTTATATGATAAAATCATTCAATGTTCTTTTCCAAAAGGTGGGAAAACACAGATAAGCAGCAGGGAATCTAGGATAACAATCTTTAAACTTCTTTAATTTTGTATCCCTTGCAGTCTAGTCTGAGTACACATGCCTAATTGATTTATAAGTTACATACATTATAAAATCCACTAAAGTCCAAATTAAGAAAGGTAAAATAAAAACAAAAGACTCCCAGTGGGTAGTCGGGCAGGCGTGCTCTTTTGGGGAGCACGGGCTGGGTAACATTTCATGACACTGAGTCTGGAGGAAGCCAGAGCTCCGGCGGCCCTGTGCTCTTGGCACTTGCTGTGTGCGGCTTCCATCAGGAACTCCACACACGTTCCTTGGCTGAATGAATGAAAGGATGAATGGGGAAGGGAGGTGGGGGAAGATCGCAGACCAGTGTGGAAAGAGGGGAGGTTGGATCTGAGCCATTGCGGGATGGCAGAGCTCGGGGTGCACGGCGAGGCGTGCTATCTACCCCACCTGCCGGGCTGGGCCCCCCAGGGCTGACGATTTTGTGCTTCTGCAATGTTGAAGCAGCTGTCAGCATTTTGAAAACAAAACAAAAAACCCCACAGGATCATGGAAAATTGAGCCTGAAACTAATTGTAGCCTGTCTAGGGAGATGCCCAGAAAACTCGCTTGCCCCCAAAATTGATGTGCTCCAAATCTCACAACTAGTTTGTGAATAGAAGGAAAGCTTTGTGTTGGATTGTGGCATTGAAATAAAGGCGTTTAGGAAATCTGGTTTGCTTCATGACTTCCCAGCAGTTGAAGCCACTACCAGCCATTGTCAGGATGGCTCCCGTTGTCTGAGAAGGGCCCATCCCTTTCCTAAGATACCTGAGGAGCAGCTCCACCTAGACTCAGAACACATGAGATTTCAATGCTTCGTTCGTGGGCTTTGGGAGCTGTGGAGCTGAAGGGAGGAAATGAGGAATCACTGAACCTTGTCAGTGCGAGTGGAGACCGCTTACCCGAAACTTCCCATTTCTACCTGTGTGCATGTGTGCGCGTGTATAATAGCATGAAATAACCATGTAGACAAGCTTAGCTCACTGCCTGGTGCAGAGTGGGTTTCAAGCAATGTTAATTCCTTTGCCCTCCCTTTATATGTTTCACTTGGCTGCTGCCTCCCTCTTCAAAGCCCTTGACCCATCCAAGTTTCACCTGCTTTCCTGCTAGGTGGAATCCCAGGAATCCCTGGAGGACGTGCCCCTTCTCCCGAGTTCTTCTAGCACTTACTCTCTGGACCGTGCAATTTAGGACTGAATTACACCCAGCCTTCCACGGTCCTCTGATTGTTTCTCATGTTTGTGTTATGTCTGTCTTCTACCCCCGACCCCACTGTGAATTTGTAAGCACCCCTGACCGGAAAGGGGAGACGAACTGGAGCCAGAATGGCTCAGCTCAGTCCTGCCCCTGCCATGTACTGAGTAAATCATTTAATCTCTTAGCTTCGGTTTCCCCAACTGCAACACCAAGATAATGGCACCACCTCACAAGGCTGTTGCTGGGGATAATAGGTGTGAAAGCGCCGAAATCGTTGTACGAATGTAAAGTGCTGCTATTATCACCTCTGCTGAATCTACTAGAGCCCTGCAAGCCTCCCTGCCTGGTGGAGTGTAGGTGATAAATACCTGATTGATTGAATACAGAATAGCTTAGTGACAGCTTCTGTCCTAGGCTCCAGGGAGCAGAGGCTGGAACCTAATCCTGCAATCTCTCCCTTCATTGACAATGCCAAATCGCCTGCATTTTGCAAATCCCTAAGTACTCTCAGCCTTCAGCTGATAAATCAGGGGCTGCTGCCCTGTGTGTAACAAAACTGCACCCCCCCCAACGACCCTAGGCTGCACCACAGCGCCCTCAACAGGCAGCACCAGGTGACACATGGAGAGGTAAAAGCTGCTGCTTTTACTGACGTGGTGGTGGTTGGGGATGGGTTTTCCAGGGACCCTCCCCTGCAGAAGAGTCAGCGAGCCTAAAGGAGCATGAATCCTTTTCGTTAAAGGCATCACAGGCTCAGTGGAAGCTTGTAGAATATTTCCCTACCACACTTTACAGAGAAAAAAAGAGGGTGCATGCGGTAGCCACCCACCAGCAGCGAGAAAGAGCAGTGTTTGCTTTGGGAGGTTTTAAGAAGCCAGGCAGTTACTTTTCCCCTCGATGTTGAAAACTCTGGTCTGGGCTTGCTGGTGAATGCCGTGCAAAGCTCATCTGTTGTTAGTCTCCCGAACAATGTTATTGGTTATAATTGGGGCAATTATGGGCTGCTTGAGGAAGCTAAACACAGATGTTTAAGCGCAGGATCAGGGTATTCAAGTCCAAAGCAGCTTGCTTTAAATAGTCCATTTCCCGAATCATCCTGCCTTACTTGAAATTCCCCCAGAACTTGCCCATGTTCAGAGCAAGATGCGGGGAGGAGGGGCTGGGTAGCGAAGCCCGGGGAGGCGAGACTTGAGGGAGAGAAATGCACAAAGACAGGAGGAAGAAAGAAGGCGCCGGGAGAGCCTCGAGAGTTCGGAGGCGGTGACTTAGGAATGGACTGTTCTGCATGACCTGGTCAAAGACCTTTAGGTGCGGGAGATGGGCAGGGGAGAGAGATGCCGAGGAAGAGAAGAGCCCTCGAAAGGCATCGGGGTCTGGGCGACCAAGGTCATGCCCGTGGACATGCTGCCTGGAACTCACACGCCGCGGGGCTCAGCAGTGCACACAGGTGAAGGACACTCCCCAGGTCCGGCCCTTCCCTGTTATTTGTAGCAATTTCTTTTGGGGACAGAAGGGAGAAGGGCTCCCTCCGGATTGAAAACTCCCGTCTGGATGGCATCAAGTTGAGTGATAGGCGGAGGAGCAGCCTGCACACCACCTCGGGGAGGAAAGGAAGCCGCAGAGAGAAAACCCTCAAGAGGGGGCCAGGGGCTCCCAGGAGGCCGCCCCGAGGAAGGCAAGCCCCCTACCAAGTGCCTGCCCCTCCCCTGACCTCACTCCTCCGGCTGCCTCCTCTTGACACAGAGAAACAACCACATAGGGGTCACAGCTGGGGAAGCAAAACTTTTCCTCATTTCCAAGTTCCCCTCTTTCTGCTTCTGCATCTGTCTGAGGTTAAAGAAGAGGCTCAGCCCTCCCCCGTTCCCCACCATCCAAGCGCTGCAAAGGGGATGAATGAAGAAACCATCTCGCAAGAGGCCAGCAACATCCACACTGGACAAAGGAGAGAGCCTGAGGAGCCAGCCCCTGGTGGCCCTACCCTCCCAGGGCTCCACGCACTTAGTCCAGTTAGTCACGGTTGGGCTGGGGGCCCCATGCAGTTGCCTACCTGAGAGCTGTCAGTCCCCGGCTCCCTCCGATGGATGCAAGGCTCGGTTCCGATGTCTCAGCCACACCAGCATATATATCCTCTCCCCACGCACAGCCCTCCCCTTCCCTGCCCACCTCCATGACACATACACACACTGACCCCCTTCATCAGCCAAACAGCAGGACCTGCAAGCCTTCCTGGCAGCTCCCCTCCCCCGGCTCTGCCATCAGACCTGTGACATCCCCACCTCCCCATCAATCCGTTCTCAAGCCTGCTTCACCTGGACTCTGTTCAGCCAGGATCCCACAGCTGCCTTCCCTGTGCTTCCAGAGGCTCTGCGAGGACTGACGGGGAGCTCTGGCAAGTCAGGAAAAAAAGCCTCTTGGTGACAGTGACGAGGCAGACCCCAAATCCTGGAGTCTCCTTGAGCAACCTTTTTGCCTGAGGAGTGAAGAATAGGAGGCAGGCAGAAGGGAGGGGAGCGAACGCCAAGCTCCCACCGGCACGGAGGAGCTCAGGGCTGAGCTGAGCCAAGCCCCCACCTAATGTCACTGCCCCTAACTAGGCCACTCAAGGGGTGGCTCTACCTGTCCTGGGCCAGGTCAGGAGGCATTTCCACAGGTGCCCACAGCATGGTGCGATGGAGAACGCTGAGGCTTGAGGCTCAGATGGCAGTGTCTGAAATTTGGCTTTACGGTCAGAGCAAGACACATCTCTTTGTGAACCTCAGGTCCTCTTCCGGAAAACAAGTCTCATACCGCCCAGGAGGTTGTGAGTAGAAAAAGATTCTGTTTGAATCTGCAACACACGAGGGCCCTTAATGAATGTGCTGCGTCCTCCCCCACGGCCCCCTTTTAATTAGTACCACCTGGATCTAGAAATCTCTTATCAGTGTCTGGTGTCACAATAGAGAGCTTTTTAAAGCTGCTTCTGCACCTTAGGGTGTCACTACCGAGTGCCCTGGAGCTCAGGGCTGAGCTGAGCCAAGCCCCCTTACTGCTGAGCCTCCCTGTCTGCTGCAGCTGCCGGGGCCGGTGGGCTGCGGGAAGAGAGCTCCCAGGCTGAAGGCACAGGCTCGAGAGTTTAGCATCCTTGGGGACCCCACCTTTCCTTACCTTAGGTGAATTGCACCATGACCCTGTCCTTAGTTTTCCCAAGAGGATCTAAAATATTCCAGAATCCCAGGGTTTGAACTGGTGTCATCTAAGGAGCTCAAGCACTCACTCGTATGGTAAGTCCAGCTCTCTTGGCCACCCGGGACTGGGGGGAGAAGGATTGAGGGAGAAGCGCCTGCCCTGACTGCGAATAGTATAGGGTTTCTTTTGGGGGTAATGGAAATGTTCTAGAATTAGATTGCGGTGATGGTTGCATAACATAGCAAGAATACTAAAAGCTACCAAATTATATGCTTTAAAATGGTGCATTTAATGTTATGGGGATGACATTTCAATAAAAAGAAAATAGGTAAAAAGAAAGAAAGCAAACATCTGCCTAGGTTAAGAGCAACAGGTTTTGAGAATAACGCTTCCCTTCCATCTATGTTCACAGCAGATGGGCTCAGGAGACCAGCATACTCACAACGCCTCACTTAGACCTCTGTTGCCCAGACCTTACACTGCAGGTCAAAGCTATCACTGTGGACCCTTTGGGAAACCAGCATGTCCCCTCTATGACACAGAGTCACTTTTGCATCCTGATGTACTTTGGGGTCCCAGGCCTGGAAACTGATTTCATATATGATGTGGCATATATTGGTGGCTGCCTACCCAATCCCCAGTCCCCTGTTCTTCCTTACTAAATAGTACCCTTGCTTTTATTCTAGGCATCAATGCACTTAGCTAAACGACTACATTTCCCATTGGTCAGGGGTTGCCAATGAGCATGAAGCTGCAGGCCCTTGGGTGGGGCTTCCGGGAAAGCTCTTTTAAAGGGGGTCAACTCACTAAAGGCCTCTCTCTCTTCTTTGCCCTCCTTCCTGTCTGGGACACAAAGGTGATGGCGGGAGCTCTAGCAGCTATCTTGGATCATGAGATGAGACAACTTGGAGGATGGAAGCCATGGGTAAATATGATGGAATATAAAGATGGAAGAATTTGGACTAATGGAGTGGCCATATCAATCTTGGACTTCCAAACTTTAACCCTTTTTTTTCCTTAAAATACCCAAACCTTTATTTCAAGTGTTAATCAGGGTTCAGTCACCTGTTGCTGCATAACAAGCCACACCAAAGCCAGAGGCTTAAAATAACAGACCACATATTTGACTCATGATTCTACAGATTGGGTATTTGTGCTAGATTGGGAATTTTGGCTAGGCTCAGCAGGGCAGCTCTTCTGATCTCAGCCTGACTCTCTTCTGCACCTGCAGTTGGACTCAGAAGGTTGGCTGGGTGTCAGCTGGGGACCTTGGTTCTCTTGGACATGTCTTATACTTCATGGGTCTCTCACATCCCTCTGGCATATTGGCCCGGTATGGTCTCATGGCAAGCCTGAGGTGAAAGCATAAACAAATACAATCAATCAAGACAAGAACTGCAAGCATATGGAACCTCTTGAGACCTAAGTATAGAGCTGGCAGTCTATTGCTTTTGCTACGTTTGTTGGCTAAGGCCAGTTGCAAGGCTGTCCAGAGCCAGGCTGGGTGGAGAGCACAAAGTCCCAGGATAATAGAGAGTGGCTATGCAGAAGCCATTCATTGGAAGCACTGGAAACTTTAACTCCCTATGATTTAAGTCATTTATTTGGATTTACTGTTACATCCAGTGAAAATTACCTTAAACAACACACCTGCCTTTGGGCACCTTGTCATTGCCAGGAGGTACAGGCATCTAAATGCTTTTCTTCCCTTGCAGTTGAGGAAGAGAAAGAGCAAGCGAAGTCACTTACCTTCTCTGGACTTTTCTTTCCTCATTCACCAGATTGAAGAGTTGAACCCAATGACCTGGATGTTCTTGGTGGGTTGAATGAAGCTGCATGTGGTGGGAGGTGGTCTTCTGTGATGCATGGGGCATGGTGGCTCATGCCTGTAATCCTAGCACTTTGGGAGGCTGAGGATTTCAGATCACCTGAGGTTGGGAGTTTGAGACCAGCCTGACCAACATGGAGAAACCCTGTCTTTACTGAAAATACAAAATTAGCTGGGCATGGTGGCACATGCCTGTAATCCCAGCTCCTCGGGAGACTGAGGCTTGAATTGCTTGAATCTGGGAGGTGGAGGTTGTGGTGAACCGAGATCAAGCCATTGCACTCCAGCCTGGGCAACAACAGCCAACAAAACAAAACAAAAACACTGTTGAGTGGGTGAGTAGAAGAACCTTGCCCCTCAGAAAAGCACAAGTAGACTTGAAGGGGTGCAGACTGTGTGGTGTTTGTGACGGCTTCAGGGCTTCCCGTTTGCCATACATCCCCTTATACAGCACCGTGAGAACCATGGGCTTCCCTTGGCCATGGTAACTTGGCACAGAGCAGCAAGCTGCCCCCTGCTTTTCTGATTGGCAGGATACATTTATTAAAATAGTCGGAGACGAAAGGTCACACACCCTTACTTCTACTGCTTTGTGTGTGTGTGTGTGTGCGCGCGCGCACAAGAACTTGGAATTAATAAAATTCTTGGCTGGGTGTGGTGGCTCATGTCTGTAATCCTGGTACTTTAGGAGGCCAGGGTGGGAGAATTGCTTGAGCCCAGGAGTTCAAGACCAGTGTGGGCAACATGGCAAAACCCTTTCTCTACAAAATGTAAAAAATTATATTTGATATAATTAAATTATTTATATGTATCTTACTTATAATTATATAAGTGCACTTATTTATTATATTTATACTTATTACTATATTTATACTTATATATTCATAATTGTATAATTATGTAAGTGAATATATAAGTAAATATATATAAAATACTTATATATTTATAATTATACAAGTAATATAAGTAAAACAATTTTATTTATAGAAGAATATAAATACATTTATATAATAAACAAAATTATACTTATATAAGTATAAATTTATATAAGTGTGAATGTATTTATACTTATATTTATAGTTTATACTTATATAATATAATTTTATATTATATAAATATAATTGTTTTTTACATTAATTTAGTTTTTTACATATAATTTTACATTATATAAATATAATTAAGCACTACAGGTATATTATAATGTAATTTAAGTATACATTATATACATTATAGAAGTATAATTCAGCACCTATAGTCTCAGCTACTTGGGAGGCTGAGGAGGGAGGATTGCTTGAGCCTGGGAGGCTGAGGCTGCAGTGAGCCATGATTGAGCCACTGCACTCCAGCCTAAGTGACAGAGTAAGACCCTGTCTCAATAAAATAAAATAACGTGCAATTCTTATTTCTTCTGCTTCTGAGGTGATGGAAGTTCACTCCTGCACACACCAGCTTGGCATCTTCTTTACAATAGAAGCCCAACCGGGGAGGCTGCACACGTTAGAATCCAATCTGTACTGACAGGTAAGTTTTGAGGCAGATTGAGAAAGCTCTTAAAATTGTCATCAGAAAATCTCAGTAGAGGGAGTACAGGGGAAGGAGGCAGCTGCAGCTGGGCCCCACATCGAGCTCCACGCACCTCCACCCACCTGCCAATTTTCCCCTCTCAGAGTAAAGAGCCTCTCCCCGCCAGGTATTTGGCTGCTTGGAATTTACTGATTAATTACGCGCCTACCTCCAATTGGTCTCCTTAGTAACCACGTTAGCAGGGTCCCACTTGAAAAGCTGCTTCTTACTCAATGAGGGCAAACTCTCTTCACAGTTTAAAACACTTTTAAGTCAGAGCACAGTGGATGTTAAAGATAGAAGGACACACACATTTCTTCACAACTTCGCATCAAAATACAGAAAGACTTTTGAACTATTGAGGGCAAGCGACATTTTAGTAATCAGTAAGAGCTAGGTTTAAAGGAAGAGTTGGGTGAATACAGTTTCATTCGAATGGCCAATGATTGCCTTTGCAAGTATAGGTTTTACTACCAGAGTGTCCAGCCTAGTGCTGGGTGAGGGGATGTCAGAATGAAAGCTATCCTGGCTGGGTGTGGTGGCTCATACGTGTAATCCCAGCACTTTGGGAGGCCGAGTTGGGTGGATCTCCAGAGGTCAGGAGTTCCAGACCAGCCTGATCAACATAGTGAAACCTGTCTCTAAAAATATAAAAAAATTAGCTGGGTGTGGTGGCGGATGCCTGTAATCCCAGTTACTCAGGAGGATGAGGCAGGAGAATCATTTGAACCTGGGAGGCAGAGGTTGCAGTGAGCTGAGATCGTGCCATTGCACTTCAGCCGGGGCAACAAGAGTGAGACTCCATCTAAAAAAAAAAAAGATCCTTACCCTCAAGAAGTTGGCCCAGGGGACAAGTTAGATCAATGCATGGTGACCAACACATCATTTGCTATAGTGACTCAGACCATTCGAGAATGAGGGAGTGCATGATGAGGTGCTGATTGTGGATCAGACTGGAAGAGAAAGAGAAGTTCAAGTGAGGAGAATGAAATTCAAGAGGGCAGAATGATGTTCAAGTGATGTTTACCTTATGTTTTGAATGATGTGTTAAGATGTCGAGGACAAATGGCAAGTTCTGAGTGGGCAGGAAGGTGGTCGCTGGGCTTCAGCACAGGTGACTAGCAGGATTAGGGGGTGTGTTAGTCTGCTGGGGCTGTCAGAAGCAAGTGCCACTGACTGGGTGGCTTCAGCAATGGGAATGCATTTTCTCACAGTTCTCGAGGCTGGAATCTGAGATCAAGTGTCGGCAAGGTTGATTTCTCCTGCAGCCTCGCTCCTGGCCTTGGAGGTGGCCGTATTCTCCCTGTGTCCTCACGTGGCCATCTCTGTGTGCATCTGTCCCTTCATCTCCTCTTAAGAGCACCAGGCCTATGGGATTAGGGCCACCCTAGTGACTTCATTTACCCTAAATCACCTCTTTAAAGCCCCTACCTCCAAATACGGTCACGCTCTGAGGGGCTGGGGTTAAGACTTCAGTGGAGGAATTTGGGGGAGGGGTGTACAGTTCACCCCATAACAGGGGGATAATGAAACTGTGCTCATCACATAATGGGGATAGAATTTCAGGAAGGAAACTAAAGTTCACTGCGGGACATGGGTGAATAATGTGTATGGGGCATCCCTTTCACCCTCAGCCCCAAACCCAGGAGTTGGGATCCCGGACACTAAGCTGACAATGTGCCCCAGCGTTGCCATGTCACAATGTCCTGGGAACACCCCATGCAGGTCCCATGCCTACATCTTAAGAGCCGCATCAACGGCTAGAGAAGCTGTTTCCTGAACCTTGAATGTTAAGATCAAAGAAACTTAAAAAGAGCCATGCTCAGAATAAGAAGGCATCCAGGCGTCCAGGTCTCCAGGTGTCCCAGCACCCAGGCACTTCAGAAGCCTGATCACGGTCCCTGAAAAGCTTTGTAGGATGGTGCAGTTGGTTTGAATGCCATGGAGGGGTCCGACACCCTTCTCTTTCATTTTTCAGAGATAGATACATGTTCCACGTTGGAGAGCCAACCCCACTTCAGCTTGTCCCTCTGTTAAATTAGTCACGCGTTTCGTAGGTTGGCTCATTTGCTCTCATAACCCCACTCTTTGTGGGGGCCTCTTGGGGCTCCACCCCACACCTCCCTTTGGTCTTGGGTACCATAATTCCAGTGCCTTCGAGATGTTCTCACTCAGATCTCACCGTGATGCTGACGAGGATGTTGTGATATCCCGGTTAGCACAAACCCCCATCTGCACATTCTCCCAGCCTCTCTATTTTGTAAGCTGAGCCATCTTTCTTCTTGCTCTTTCTCTCATCCTTTGTATTCAGGTATTCCCAAATGTAATCAATTCCTCTCTATCACACTTTGTTCGAGTTCCTAGCGTGCGCATGCTCTCTCCCTGCTCTCTTTCTCTGTCTTCAATCTATCCTATACACAGCAGCCTCCTAATAATTTTTAAATGGTATTTTCCTTTTGCTTCAATACCTTGCTCCAGAATTCTAGTTTAAAGGCAAAGAATGATAGAAGCAGAAAGTAGTGAACCTGAACTCCAAAGACCAGTGGTTGAGTCCTGGCTTAGTCCCCACCTTGTCATGTGACTTTAGCCGAACCACTCCTGCTACCAGGGCGGGAGGATCACTTGAGGCCAGAAGTTTGAAATCAGCCTGGACAACATAGTGAGACCCCATCTCTATGAAAACAGAAAAATAATAGGCATAATAATAGCTAACAGTGGTGGTGTGAGAATTCATTCAGTTAATGTAAATGAAGGAGCTTTGAAAACTATAAAATAGACAGATACAAAATATAATGATTATTCCTCAAGGCCATCTCAAGTACAACCAACCCTTATGCCTAATTAAAAGTTAGTCTTTTCCTTTTTTAAGCTTACAGCATTTTTCTGGTGATATGTCTGGACAGTGGTTATTTCCAGGTCTGCAGTCTGCACTGCAGAATGCACCTCGTGCTGTTCTCTGCTGGTACTCCACCCTGCCTGTCCAGAAAAACGGAGCTGCTGGAGGGAAGAAACTTACATTCTTTCTTGTTTCTATGCAACTGAGCACAGTGCCAGGCACACTAAAGTCTATCAATTTCACATGCATGCATTGGGCACCTGATTCTTGTTGATATACAGAAGGCATGTATTAGTGGGGAGGGGATTCAATATCGTATGATAAAAATTCCTGCATTCACAGAGCTCACAGTTGGGCTTGGAAGATGTGCTGCAAGGACTGAAAAAGGTACAGATGGCATTTCTACTGTTAGCAAAAGATACCTGGGTGTTTAGGGGAAATGCATCTCCTCCAGCTGGAATGCTGAAAAAGGTTTGGCCAACGGGGATGGTTTGAGCAGGATCTTGAAGGACTAGCGACATTGGATAGGCAGAGATGGGGAAAGGTGTGAAAGTCAGCAGGCCAGGTGAACTGGCCTGGAGGAGGCTTTGCAGAAGGGAGCCGCAGCAGCAGTGGCTGGAAATGCAGGCGGGATGAGACCGCAGAAGGCCTTGAACAGCGGCCTTAATGGCTTACACTTCACCCAATGGGGATTAGTAGGGCAATGGGAAGACATTGAATGCTTCTGTGCAGGGGAGTGATGCTAGGCAGTGTTTTCGGAGCGGTCAGCTAGGGTGGATACTAAATACTTATGGACTGGGACGAGCAGGAGCGCTTCTGTAGGTGTTCATCTGTCTTTATGTGGCTGGTTCTATATGGATGACTGCAGCCTCAAAAGCCAGCTAGAAATAGACATACAAATGGTCCAGCAACTGCACTGAAAGCTTTCTATTTTTTCAGCAAATAGTGTCACATGAAAATCTCCTAATTCCTGGATGTTTCCTGTTTCTAGATCAGGAGATCTCATATCTCAAACCTCTCCTCACTGCCACCATTAGAGGCGTGACAGCCTGCCACGTTCTGAACCCGAGCTTAAACCTGAGCGTCCCTTCTTCCTGCCTCTGCCCTGCTCCTCATCACAGTGTTGTGTAAGGCTGGTGGAATGCCATTTGGCAAACTTGTGTTGTTGTTGATGCAAGATGACTAGCTTCCCAAAGCTCTTTTGTGGTTCTGGAAGAGGAAGATAGGAGATAGATTTTTTTTTTTTTTTGGTGAAAGAAAATAGTTTTAGTCCTTTGCAAAGTAAAATAATGGATGTCTAAGATTTCTAAGTTCAGGTTTTCCATATCAATTAAATGACATTGCCAGAGCACCTTGTTGTAACTTTCTCCCTCCCCCAGGGATTCCCCCTCCCTATGGCTTTCCCCTACCCTGCCTAGGCCTCTGGTGGCTACATAGAGACACACACACACACACACACACACACACACACACACACACACACACACGCACACACACGCGCACACACACGCACACAGCTAGTAGTTTCGGCTTCTCCCTCCCTTATCGCTTCCTCCTCCCCCATAGCTTCTCCCTTTCCCATGGCTTCCCCCTCCACCCATGGTTTCAACAACCCCCCTGGGGCTTCTCCCTCCTTCATAGTTTCCCCCACCCCCATGGCTTCTCCCTCCCCCATGGCTTCCCCCTCCCCCATGGCTTCTCCCTCCCCCATTTCTTCCCCCTCCCTCGTGGCTTCCCCCTACCCTGCCTAGGCCTCTGGTGGCTACATAGAGACACAGACACACACACGCGCGCATGCACACGCACACATGCACACAAGCACACAGCTGGTAGTTCCAGCTCTGTCTGCCATCATTACAATTAAAGAGCGTTTATCAAGCATCCACATGAGCTGCACTGTTAGAATTATTTGCCAAGTGTGTCTCTCGGAAACACATGAACACAGTGCCTAAAAACATCTGAAGCCACACGGTTGGTCAAGATAATGGCATAGCTTCTCCGAGGGTAAGGTATGAGATTAACCTCGGGCATCCTGTATAACAAACCTAGCGCAGATCCCCAGAGAGGAACTTTTTGGAGTGACTGACTGGCAACTACTGAAACTTGGTGGTGCCTTTCCCTG